CGCTTTTCCTCATAAACTATACCTGCTTCTGAAAATAGCCTCTCACTATATACACTACTGCTGGGAGACGATAGATAAATCTTAGCGAATTCTGTCAGGCTTGGATACTGTTTTGCGTTTGCTGACCACCACTTGTAAAGGTCTGCCGTCCGATCTAGGCGAACAGTTTTCATATAAAGTGATACAAGTGATATTTTTTAGTAATAATTAGTAATGCAATTTGATGTAACAATGAACAAATAATGCATGTTGTGACATGATCTACTCGCAAATAAAACAAATGTGCCCGCAGTGTCGCCACCGCACCCACCGTAATGTATCAGGTCGTGACATATCACCCGCGAAATGTACACATATTTTGCTGAACATTCGGCCGCCGAATATTCGGTGCTTCGGCCAAGAGCATAGCCGAATGTTCGGTATTCAGTATTCGGCAAAATCACTATTCGTGGCATCACTATTATAATATGATTGTATGTGCTTTAAACATTTTTCTAATAATATTACGACTTCAATATTTGTGGCGGACAGACGTAAAGTCGAATAAAATGACTTAAACTTGATTTTTATTTTTCCATATACTTTTTTGACAAACAACGTATAATCGGGAACGACGTAACTTGAAACGACGTAAGTCGAGGTATACCTGTAATAGTAATCTATGATCTTATTCTGATTCAAGAATGTAAAAAAAAAAAAAAAAGGGTGTCAAAGATACATCCACCAAAAAGCCTTAATTAATTTCCAATAATATTTAATGTGAAAAATTTGGACTATTAAGGTCCCTTGGTAGATGTATTTTTGAAGTTTGAATTCTTTTCAGTCTCTTAATGATGTTTTGTACTCTAATAAAAAAATAACATTTGGTTTTTATAACATTTAAGGATTATGAGTATCATTTTCTAGATGTAATTGCATCCAATGATGCAAATCTAGAGTTAAAATTTTAAAATTATTTTTTTTAACTATTTATGCATAATATAGTTTGATTGATCCATGTAATATTTGTTTGGATATATTATATATTTTTTAATAATTGAAATAATAATATAACTTTGTTACTCAAGCTTATTAACCTCATTGAAAATCTGGCCACTGTGTAATGACAAAATTAAAAGTCTTATCTACTCACATAATAAATTAGCAAATTAATTTATTGCATGCATACATCACTGGATTGCAATAAAAAAGTATTACTGACAGTATTGTTATGAGTCTATCATTTTCTAGATGTAATTGCATTATAGAAATTGCATCATGGATCGATCAAATATTATGTATAAATAATTAAAAAAAAAATTTTTTTCAGTTTATTATAAAATCAGACAAAATCATGTCGTATTCCAATAACTTAATGTCATAGGACAATTTTGTCCAATGTTATTAAAAAAGCAATATTATCAGGAAAAAAACTCACACATAATTTTCAGCTAAAAAGTAATTTGGGGCCATTAATCCTGCAATGCTATATATTAAAACTGATTCACAATTCTTTAACACTTTTTGATTTAAAATTCTCCTTTTATTTCCCTCCAAATGCCTGGTTGATTGAAGTTTTTGTTTCTGAAAAGTAAAATATACTAATTATTTTAAAATATATAATTTTAACTTTAAAAGTAAATATTTGTTTGTAAACCAACCCTATCTTGTCGATAAAAAGTAGAGATAGATACGCCACCTTCACCTGACGGACTTTGTGTAACTGGAGAGTAGACTAGAGCATACTGACCAGGAGATTGAGATTGTCTTCCTTTTAAAGGAAGTGCACTAGTGCAATAAACACTAAAAGCTGATAATGAACGAGGTGTGATTTCACTAGGAACATTTGCCTTTGAAAGATGAGCAGGTCTGACAAATACAACTAAGAAATCTAAAAATAAATAAGTAATTCTTTTAAAAATTTTCAGCAAAATATACAGACATTCTTACATAGATTTAAACATCTAAGAATCTATATACAGTAGAGCGTTGTTTATCTGAAAGTCGGTTATCCGAAAAAATTCCAGTCGGCAAATTTAAATTTTTGCTAGTGCTGTGGCACTGCAATCTTTGGCTATCTATATCTTGGGTTACTCCAATATATTTTTTTTGTTGATGTGTGTGTTTTAGCTGGCAGCACTGGCACTTTTGTGTAGTGTTTTTCTGAGGACTGTGTGTCATGCTAAATCGAATGTTTTTGATACTAGATTAACTAATAAAGTATAATTTTTTTTTTGTTTTTATATTTTTCAATATATTTATTTTGTTTGTAAAAAATAAAGAAATAATTTTTAACGATACAATAGACATGATTATTATTTTTAAAAGTTTACATTAGGCTTAACATCGATGAAAATTCAACACAAAGCGACACACAACGGAGAAAAATTTCAACATGGGATAGGTTAATATATTTTTTCATACGTAATCAGTTATCCAAAAAATAAGTTATCTGAACAACCCCAGTCCCCAATTGATTCAGATAAACGATGCTCTACTGTATTATAAAAAAAAATTGTGTGCGCACTTGTGTGTGTTGTTTTTTGTATTTATGCATTTTTTAATTTTATTTAAAATTAATATAATGTTAACATGAAAAATATTTAAGCTGATGATAAATATAATTTGTATTTTTTATTGGTTGCTTACATGTATAATGATCAAATTCTATCATCTCTGGCAGATAATATTGCTGATTAATTCTATATTTCTGGCAAGATAATACCACAATTTATATTAAAAGATATTATTTATTAACAGAAGATTATCTATTATTTAAATTTAAACAAGGTAATTTAATGTTTAAATTAAAGCTCTAAAAACTTTTAAAATCCAGCAAGAAAATTTTATGTAATAAATATTTTTGGCATTTTAAAGTCATCTTTGTATAAAATATTTTTTCAATTATAAACTAGATTATAACTAATAAGTATACTTTAGATTGCTTTAAAAAAAGCCATAAAACTTTTTTATATAATTTTTCTTGCTCGATTTTAAAGCAAGAAAAATTATATAAAATGGTTGTAAAAAAGTATAAAAGTGAGAACAAATTGAAACTTCAATTTGTTCTCACTTTATAAATAAATAAACTAACTTTTATTAACAATACTGCAGTAGGAGAGCAGTTCAAATCATCATCATTCAGTAATATTTTATGCCCTTTCACTACTTTAAATTCCTCAATCTTAGATCTCAAATATTCATTCAAAAAAGAAGGGTAAGACGATATGAATTTTCACTTACTGACTTTTGGATATATATGGCCAAAAAACAAAAAATTTTTAATTTTAGTGCACTATCCTGGGTACTCTGAATTAAACAAAATTAATGACTAATACATCATCTTTAATATAGTTTATAAATTTAAAAATTACTTACCTGCTCCACAAAATTTTGCTCCTGTTGTTCGAGGAAAAGGAACACTGACATCTAAAATGCTGCTAAAAGTTGGTAAAGGCCTAAACTGTTGTTTTGAAGAGTTCAGATAAGGGCTTTCATTATTCTTCTCCATATCTTCAGGCTAAATAAATATTTCTAAATTATTTCCTAAAAACCAAAACTAAAATTAATAATTTTGGATCATTAAATAATATCAAAAAACTAACTATAGAAGACTCTAGGCTTGCTACCAGTTGACGAAGACAAGGTTCTAAACAAGTCCTATTTCTTTTAACTTGTTGTTGAGAAGTCATTCGTAATACCTACAATAAAAAATAAATCAAAAGTAACTCATTAAAAGAGCTAGAATTTCATTTACACACACAAAAATACTTATATTTTCATTTTGGTTAATATTAAACAGTTATTTTTAACTATTTTCTCATTATGCTTGTAAAAATAACCACTTAATAAAACCAATAACCGGTATTAAATAATCGTAAAATGAACTGCGAACGTTTTCGGTTCCTTCCCTAGGACCTTTCTCAAGCAGCGATTCGTCATTAAAATAACTATGAATGAAGACCAGTAAATAGCAATATTCGAAAAATTATTCGAATATTAAAATTTAAAATTCGAAGAATTTTTCGAATATCGCTATTTACTGGTCTTCGTTCATAGTTATTCTAATGACGAATCGCTGCTTGAGAAAGGTCCTAGGGAAGGAACCGAAAACGTTCGCAGTTCATTTTACGATTATTTAATACCGGTTATTGGTTTTATTAAGTGGTTATTTTTATATTAATCCGGTATTTGAAGATTCTTTATCATTATGCTTGTATTTATGCATTTCATTATAGGTTATAATTCCATTATATTTTCTCCAAATGCAATTAACTTATATCTTATAATGCAAGGATTACATAATATTGAATTTTCCATGCTAATTTTTTGAGTTTAAATTTAAAAAATAATATCCAAAGTTACAAATTAGTATTTAAACAAATTATGAATGTTCATTTCCACAAGAAAACAGTAAAGATATATATAAAGTCAAATATTAAAACAGTAATAAAATGTAGTAGATTGTAAAATGTTAATTATAGATTCAATACAAAGCATATTAAATTTTAATCTCGAATAAATTAAGTGTGCAATGCCTTAATGTTGTAAATGCCAAAAAACAAACTTTTCAGGAGATGTAAAAAATGTTTCTCTAGTGAATAGATTCCTTCAAGTCTTGAAGAAATTCATTTCAATTTTACAATAAAATGGTAAAAAATTCATTAAACTACAAATTCTCTGAAAAACAAAATGACATAAATATAAGTCTTATAGCATTACTACTACATTATTATATAAGCAAATTACTACAATTTTTTTTAGTAGAAAAGTAAACATGTCAAATTTATTGTCATAAAACATAAATTCATCATAAAATTTAAAACTTGAGCCTATTTTACTAAATTTATTAAAAAAGAATGAAAAGCATTGTAAAAAGATATCACAGCTCTAGAACAATAGCAATTAACATTCTGAGAAAATTACACTGTTAATTAGAAAGGAGAAAATATGAAATAAGATATCAAATTTATGTTTTATAAATTAATCATTAATTCCTAAGTATTTAAACAACTTTATTCTTAAATATGGGTAATATATTTTGGAAAATGTTATCTGATGACTTTACTCAAAATTGAAATTATTACTCTTAGTAGCAAAACAATTTTTACAAACTTGAAAAAGAAATATATAAACAATTTAGAAAATGAATTCCTCATCAATATGTTTTTTCCTATTGTATTTTTGTTTTTCATTTTATCTTGAACATAAAACATTTAACTCAAATTCTGATGTTATGATAATTTATGACATCAATTAAATGACTTACAAGGTATATTGTGGATAATGTGAAGCTTATAAACCATAACCTTGATTTACTATAAATTTTCAAAAGTAGCTTTTGGGTCAAATAACCCATATTAATAAATAAAAGAAAACTTAACATATTGTTTTATAAATACATATTACTTGCAACATTACAAATAAATATAAAACACATGTAAAGTTAATATAAATGAAGTAAACAGAAAAATTTTAAATTGAAATTCAATTGATTTTCCATTATGTAAACAATTATTCGCATAAATATGCATGCAATTTACATAAATGAACAGAAAATTTGCATTCTATTAAAATTTGATTTGTTTTTTACACATTCAAAGACACATTATTAAATTAATAATAATATTTAATTTAATTATATAGTGAATTGAATACATAAAATTTAAATAGAATTTAAAAAGAAGAATATTTTTAAAAAATATTTGTTGTTTTAATAAAATGTTTATTGTAATTATAGAAAATAAATAAATAAATTACTAAAAGTAAATTTTTGAAATTATTTCATAGTTCTAATTAAGTTTTCTTAATCAAAATTTTGGCATATACAAGGTCTGTTCAAAAAGTATCGGACCTTTGGTCGGCAAAAATAAATTTATTGACTTTGAGGTACAAAACCCTAATCCCCTTCAAAGTAGTTTCCTTGGTAATGTATACACTTCTCCCAGCGTTCCTGCCATTGCTGGAAACACTGCTGGAACGCATCTTTTGGAATGGTTATCAGCCGGTCTGTCGCATTTCGCATGATGTCTTCTCTCGACTAAATTTGGGTTCCTTTTAGCGGCATTTTCAGCTTGAGAAATAGCCAAAGGTCACACGGAGCCATGTGGAGAGAGTACGGAGCGTGACGAACCACAGGAGTATTGTGTTTGGCGACGAAAGCCCGAATCAGATGCGCAGAATGGGCGGATGCGTTATCACGATGGAGCTGCCAAGTTTTGATCGACCACAGATCCGGTCGTTTGCGTCGCACTGTATCGGAAAGACGACGAAGGACCTCCTGGTAGTACTCCTTTGCGATGGTTTGGCCTTGTGGTGCGTACTCACGACACACCACCCCACGAGAGTCGAAAAAACTGTCAACATGACCTTTGATATTGCTGCGGACCTGCCGCGCTTTTTTTGGCCTCGAGGATCGTCCCCGAAAGCCTGCTGAATCTTGCGAATGGTTTACACTCGGGTATCGCCAAGGTTTTTGGCAAAATTTGATGTAATATCGCTGCTCACGTTGTTCAGTCATTTTCCAGCTTAGTGAAATCCGACTACAGCGCACTACATGACCTCACTCATAGGCCGATTGCCAACAACTGACGCTTCCTGCAGGCGGGAAAAAATTCAGGGCTGTGCATGACTGTCCCCTCCACAACTCCACCGAAGGAGGCCTCTCTCGCATCATTGGTTTACGCGGAATAAAATAAGGTCCGATACTTTTTGAACAGACCTTGTATGAATTATTTGCATTAAATTTAGAATTTTGATGAAATTAAATGAATCATTCTTTTTGAGAAAGCTACATTGAATGTTAGCAATTAAACATTTTAAATATAATTTTTAATTAGATATTTATTTGTTGATTATGAATCAGAGGCATAATGAGATTAGCCAATAAGAATAAGAAAGAGAAAATAAAGTTGTGAGTTGAATTAGCCTTGAAAAATCACCAGGATTAAAAATATATTTGAAATTGAATGAAGATATTGTAAAAATATCTAGCTATCAGAATTTAGCCAGCCAGATGGCTGAGGCTGTTAAGAAATTAACCTATTGCTCTTGTGACCTGGGACATATCAAAACACTAGAAATTTTTTGGAGAGTGGTCCAACCCAGATTTGCATATATACTCCATCTCTGACCTGGCCAAACCCATAATGGACCTAAAAAAAGGTCATCTTAATTCCCACAGAGTGGAAAGAGTAAAAAATATCAAAATTTTAATATTAGTTANGCTGAATCTTGCGAATGGTTTACACTCGGGTATCGCCAAGGTTTTTGGCAAAATTTGATGTAATATCGCTGCTCACGTTGTTCAGTCATTTTCCAGCTTAGTGAAATCCGACTACAGCGCACTACATGACCTCACTCATAGGCCGATTGCCAACAACTGACGCTTCCTGCAGGCGGGAAAAAATTCAGGGCTGTGCATGACTGTCCCCTCCACAACTCCACCGAAGGAGGCCTCTCTCGCATCATTGGTTTACGCGGAATAAAATAAGGTCCGATACTTTTTGAACAGACCTTGTATGAATTATTTGCATTAAATTTAGAATTTTGATGAAATTAAATGAATCATTCTTTTTGAGAAAGCTACATTGAATGTTAGCAATTAAACATTTTAAATATAATTTTTAATTAGATATTTATTTGTTGATTATGAATCAGAGGCATAATGAGATTAGCCAATAAGAATAAGAAAGAGAAAATAAAGTTGTGAGTTGAATTAGCCTTGAAAAATCACCAGGATTAAAAATATATTTGAAATTGAATGAAGATATTGTAAAAATATCTAGCTATCAGAATTTAGCCAGCCAGATGGCTGAGGCTGTTAAGAAATTAACCTATTGCTCTTGTGACCTGGGACATATCAAAACACTAGAAATTTTTTGGAGAGTGGTCCAACCCAGATTTGCATATATACTCCATCTCTGACCTGGCCAAACCCATAATGGACCTAAAAAAAGGTCATCTTAATTCCCACAGAGTGGAAAGAGTAAAAAATATCAAAATTTTAATATTAGTTAATTTTAAAATTTTAATATTCAATTGAACTAAATTAGAGTCATTTATTTCTAGAATTAAAAAAGTATATATATATTTGTTTTAATTTTAGCTAATGATAGTAATAAATACTAATAGAATGAATTATGATTTCTAGAACTACAATTAATATTTAAAAGTATTAAAGAATTTTAATATCTGAAAAACAACAAATAATTCATCAAAAATATATAATATTTTTAAAAAATTTATTAAAACTTACCTTTAATAACTTTGTTTTTATATTGCTATCTACTGTTGTAGACTTACAAAAATGAAATATTGGCGATGCATTATATGGATAAGAACTGGGAAAATTAATTTTTAAACGAACCATATGTTTTCTAATTAATGCTGTTACAATGCAGGTTCTATTTGACACATCCATCTGAAAATCAAATATTTATTAATAAAGAGATAAAATTATAATAATTTGTAAATAATTTTTTCTTAATTTCAGATCAGGAAAAATTATTATTATTATTTAAATTAAGTTATTACCTCATCAATTGTAATATTAGGAATGTTCAAGTTTACAAGAGAAAATTCTTGTTGGAGATTTTCAGGTTGAGATGATGGTAAAGTTGCATTTTCGTCCGGCACCGACTTTTGAGGAGTCTGTGGTGGTGAACTTTGATTACCAGCTTCTGTTTCACGAGGACTCATTTGAGAGGTAATACTTGCAACATCTGTAAAATCTTGACTAGTACCTCCTTGTACACATGATATTAACAATTCTGCATCATCACTTTCTACAAAATTTTCCAATCCACAAAGCTAAAAATAATGATAATAATTGTGTATATATATATATATATAAAATATCAATAATTGAACCTATAAGCTATATAAATTAATACAGTATATGTGTTACTGTGAATGACCGATATCTGGCAAATGTCAGCATTCACAGTCGTTTCGTGTATGTACAATATATTTGCTAAATATCATTATTTCTCACTTACATTAGCAAATGTAAACATTCAGCATGTACTGATGGTAAATGTTGAATAAAAATATTTTTATTATGTTAAGACAAAAATGCAACTTTTTAATATGTCAAAATAGGAGAAAGCTTAAGTAACAGCAAATGTAAATAAATTGTTGAACCTAAAACAAACAGTATATTCTTAATCATTAAAGAAAATAATACAATAATAAACTTACACATAAATTATGTGATTAATGTTATACAATCTTATTTATTGCAACAACTTAAACTGTTATGGCACTTTGAATTGCACAAGAGTCCCTTGCTTTTACAACCGTATTTATTCGTGGAACACTTCTTTTTACAATGACAGTGTGTGTAGCCTTTCCCTCCACTTTTCGAATTAGCTGCAGCTGCTTCTCTCAGCGATATTTCTTGAGAAAAAATCTCATCTATGGAAAGTAATTTTTCTTTACAAATTACAAACTGATTACATTATTACATGATTATGAACTGATCTGTTAATGGTGTCTTTTATTCAGATATCGCTGACGCCTTACCGATGACCCCTCTCATCCTCTGCCACTCGACCTGACAAACCGATCCCCACCTCACAAAAATGCCATCTAGTGACAAAGTGGGCGGTTTCCACCAAACCGTTGCCAGGAAAAGAGGTAAGACCTTGTCCTACCTCCGGCTACCCACAAAGGATTTGGCGACGGACTGTCACCTCTCTGTTGACATCGGCTTCTCAGGTGTCGTTTCGACCTCCACCAAAGCTTATTTGTGCTTGTCAACATACACCAACGATTGTTCTAATGTATAATAATATAACCAAATATTCAGTCTTTTACCAATGTATTTTGTATGTGTCAACATTCACTGGAGAATATTGACATTCTCTAATTTCGGTCTTTCAGTAACATATGCACCACGAGTATTTTTTATTTTAAAGATGTTCATAATTTTTACTTACTCTTTGAAGTGATAAATCAACTGTCCAAATTCTTAAACTTTGATCCTTAGACCATGTCACCAATTGATATTCTTTTGAATCTTAAAATTTATGGAAAGTAAATCATTAATGACAACGCAATAATAAATATTAAAAAAATCTATTATTTTTGCTTATCTTTTTTAACAATATTTTAAACTTTTTAGATATTATTACAAACTTCATATCAGATTTAATGTAATTTTTATACTTCATTTAATGATCGCGGACACATATATACATACATACAGGTATCCCTCGTATAACACAATAGTTACATTCTAAAAAAGTACTGCGTTATGCAAAACTGTACTATACGAAACAAAGGGCTAATGTAGAACATGGGTTACATTCCAGAAGCTAGCAAAAATATACTATTTTTTTTCGTTACTAAAAGAAATATGTTTATTAAAGTAATCAATAATTTATTTCCAACCAATAATTAATTAACAATCACAATTAAAAGTACCATATGGTGCTTTAATATTAATTTTAGTTAAACAAAGGCATTCTCTTTGTACAAAGTATCGTCGTCATCTCAGCTTTTTTGTTGATCTTGATCAGAAGTATCAGCAACATTTTCATATTTTTCATTTTTATCATAAACAATTTTTATGGATGATGAAATAAAAATATGTCATTAATTGAAAATTTGTTCTAGTGGGTTGCATTTGTTCAGTCAAGTATTGAGCGTCTTTTTTCTAGAATTTGTGTTGGAATATGAAATTGTTCAAGTACTCAGATATCAGCATAATTCTATAATCATTTTATAATACAGTTAAAAACAAGTTTAATAAACTTTACTAAATACAAAGATTAATCTATGAAAAGAAAACACAGTGACAGTTTTAAGGGCTAAAATCTGAAAGCAACGACAATGACACCTGGTTGATAGGAAAGTTAGTGCAATTTTTTGTTCCTTGTCCTATCAGTTTTCATTAAAGTAAACCTGATAAAAACCACAAAATAATTTTAAAATTTGAATATTATAAAATCTGTGAACAAATTTGAGACAACACACATGCTTACTTGAATAAAAAAACAGATATATCAAATAGTGAAGTTTGCACTTAAAAATTGTAAAATATTTTACAGAGGATTTCCAAAACAGTGTTAGAGCAATGTTGTATTGGGGTATCCCCAATTTTCAAACTGTTTTTCTGTTACATAAGATTACTTGGTTTAAGAGAAAATGGAAGTAAATTTACTATTTTTTTTTTTTTAAATAATTTTAAAATTTATGAAAGATGATTGTGAATTTAATACGCATGCTATCTTTACACTAAGTTCAATGAAACGATTAGCATCTTTATGTGCTTATGTCACTGTTTGAGTGAAAATTCATTTTATTCTACTACAAATGTTGTTGTAACTATTCATAAATGTTTATTACAATAATTTTGATTTTATATTTATTATGTTTTTTTTTAAATTTTTTCAAATCTGAAGGTGCGATGTCATCATTTTTATGTCACAAATTTCACACAATTATGCAAATTGGTTTTACACATCAGCAAGAAGTGTGTTCGTTTAGCTTAATTTCTTTGTTTTTAGATTTTGTGTAGCAACTTTTCGTTTTTTCTAGTTTATTTAGTAATGCTTATTGAAAATGGACTGTAAATTATGGGATATTTCGTATGTCAAAGGAAGCGATATTAGCTTATTTCAAAATTGAGGAATTTTGCATACTGAAAGTTTCTGCACAAAAAATCAACGAATGTCTATGTATTTTTGTTCATCAAATAGTCCTAAACGGAGAGGTTGTATAAGGACATATGAAAAGAAGGGAATTAGAACTAACAGATAATTTGATTTACAATATGAAAATTTCAAAACTTTTAAATGATTTTTAAAAACATTTTAATTAATTTTGATTTTATTTTTAATTTTGGTTTCAGTTTCAGTGTAAAGGCCAGAGTATTAATTAATTTTAAATTTAATTATTTTTAGCTTTTAATTTATTAACAAGACTATGTCTTGTTTATAAAATTGTACTGCCACTCGTTCTTATCAGCATAGAGGTATGAAGGAGTACATGTCAAGAGTTGATATTTGGCACAGAGTATTAGGTGCCCAAATCATTTGCGCATAAAAAAAATCCAAACTCGTAGGTAGTCAAGAGACTGAGAATTGAGTCAAAATAAAATCCAAAATGGTGACCCTCTTCTACAAACAGGCAAAACAGCCACCTCACCCCACCAAAGTCGGGTAGGGGAGAGTACCACCCACAGTCATTCTAAGAAGTGAACTCTGATCTTAGGACTGAACACATAATTTCTTCTATGTTAAATAAAATTTGTAATCTAATTTTGTAAATTTGGGAGTGCTTCAAATATGATGTTAAAACAGTTTTATGTCATTACAAGTGGGTTTTTTTAACATTATCTAGTATAGTAAAATCATAGGACCGATAAAAATTTGACGTTATATTAGGGTTGTTGTTACATTCGATGACATTATAATCGAATTAAACTGTATATTGTTTGTGCAAAATAAAAAAATAATTTCGGAAGATACAATAGCCACAATTATTTTTTTCAAAAACGGGAAGTTTTTGTTACACATTGACAAAAATTCAACCCGGGCTGACACGCAACAGAGAGAAATTTTGAAATTAGATAAGTTAATTTCATCGAAGATGCATCGTGGACGATCTCATGGTCGTGGCTGGCAAAGTTTGAACGATCATGCCCAAAAGCATCGATATCAAAAAAGATAGGAGAATGAGACCTGCTTTGAGCATCAAAGTGATTCTGTCTCTGAGACATAGTCTTGTCCCAAATATGGTTTTGCCATTTTACTTGTTTAGTACTAATTTTGTTTTTATACTTATTTTTAATAAATTTTATTAATTTATTGTTATTTATTTAATTTTTGAACTTTTTGAACCCTTATATTACAATTTTTTTCAATTATAACTCTTTTTTCTTTTGTGACATAACTATAGAAATTGTTTTAGCATTATTTCTCACAAAAGATAATCAAATTTTATATTTATTTTAATTTTTTTAGTAATTTCATTCATTTTTTTAAATAAATTTGTCAGCTTTTTAAGAATTTTAATTATAAGCAAGTTAACATTGATTGAACTATCAGGCTACTTGGTTTCAAATCGAGGCTACAAAAATCAACAAAAAAATATTTAAGTGTCAGCAAAACAGTTTAAAAATAAACAAAATTATATTTTGATTGATTATATTTTTAAAATTTAGTATGTTTACTTTTAATGATAAAATGACTTTCTCATTATAATTATGAGAGTTTTGTTCATAGATGATGTGTAATACATTAAATTTTCATATGCAATTCGCATAAAATTAATAAAAATACTTGTTCGTGCTAAGTTTACTGCCGTTTTGAAGTTTACTGATTTTTAAAATTCAATTTTTCAAGATGAGTTGGTCTAGACCTTCATGGCTCAAGTGAATGGAGTCAAAAATTGGTTAACTTATGATGATTATGATGATGATGATATTTGTTCAGCTCATTGCACCATTTGCCAAACCTCATTTAGTGTTAAATACAATGAAATTAAAACATTTATGAAGCATGCCTATTGTGAGAAGCATATAAAAAAAGTGCATCTTCCCATTTACCTTCCCCCTTTCCCCACTTCTGGTCATCGCATCAGCCAACAAAATAGTTTCCAAAGATGGCAACCCCAGATGACATGATAGGATAGTTCTTAGAGTAAAGGGGAATTAACTGCACTTTCTTTGAGGGTAGTGTTATTAACTTTATCTGAAATAAAATTACAAATTTATTTTGTAGTTATGCAATAAAAGCATGCATATCTACATATAAATGGAGAATTTTCAGATTTCTCTTAAAAGATTAATTCTGAATTTTCCTATCATTTTCCATTCTTAAGCTTGATGTTTATTAATTAATGATTGTACTGTGTTCATAATGTAAATTATTAAGTTTTCTAAACTAAAATAAAATTTACAAAGTATTCAAATGAATTGGAATCAGGAGAAATTCTGGTATTGACCCATCACTATTAAAATTATGAATTATTATCTGTATTCTTTACATATATGTAAAAAGTTTACTATTAATATTAGAAAAATTACAATTATAGCTGTAAATACTATATATATTACTTATATATATATTATTACCTTCCCTTTTTTTCCTCCAAGCAAATTCCATAACAACATCAGAATGACCTACAAATGTATGAACAGGAGTGGACAAATCAGCCATATTTGAAATGTTCCATAACATTAAATTATTTTCTCCTCGACGCAGTGGAGGAACAACTACCGTTACTAAGCCATCACCAAAAGGCTATTATAAAAAGAAAATAAACAAAACATTGCATTTATTTGAGAAAAAGTATAAATATTTTTTTAAGTATTAATTTTTTATATAAAAATACCTGAATATCCCAATTATCATCTTAAATTTATACTTAATTTATGATACACATTTCATTTCAATAATAATTTTCTTTAATACATTAATCTTATTAGAATGTCTTAGCAACTAAATGTTTTATAGTCCCATTACATTAGTTATCTACAAATATTATAAATGTCAGTCTAGTGCATTCATTGTAATTTTAAAGAAAAATATTTAGATGACTGAAAATAGTTTAATTTTTGGACTTTAGTTTTTTTTTTCTTTTATAATAAGGTATTATAAATAATTTAGAATTAAATTCTTTGAAATATTACAAATTAAAATTTCTTTCCTATTATTATTGGTAAAATTGAAAAAATCCTCTTATTTTATTATGTATATATTATACTATTGTATTGTATTTTAAATTTACAGGTTTATCATACATATGAGACTATTATGCTATTTAGACCATTTTATTAACATACCCCGAAATACATTTCAGCTATCTTTACTTAGCAGTCTTCAGTTGGATATAGGTCTAAATGTGATTGGCACCAAATCTTAATGTTCTTTTGATAGTTGTAAATGTCATATTTTGACTGGTTTTGTTAATTATTTAAATGTGTTTGTATGCATGTTGATGCTATATTTCTGTACTGTCTCAAACAATTTCCTGTATTTTAGACCTATATCCAACTGAAGAGGCTAAGTAAACATAGCCAAATTGCATTTTGAAATATGTTAATAAAAATGGTATAAAGAGCATAATAGTCTCATACATATGATAAGTCTGTAAATTTCAAATACAATATACTCTAAATATATAACATTACTTGTCCTGACTGACTGACTGACTGAATGACTGATTCATCATTGCCCAGAACAAACCGCTGAACCTAAAAAGGTGAAATTTGGTACACAGTTAGGGTACGTCATGAAAACGCACACTAAGAAGGGATTTTTCGAAATTTCCCCATGGGGGGAGAGGGAGAGGATTAAGGCTCAACCGGAAGAATGGCTTCTACTATACTATTTTAGATGCGATTTTTTGTTTTTATCTGCGTTTTAGTAGGGTATGCCATGGAAATGCACACTAAGAAGGGATCTTTCGAAATTCCCCCGTGGGTGGGAGAGGGAGAGAATTTAGTCTTCATCGAGTACTTAGGTGTATTATTTGACCACTAAGTAACTATTTGGTATAAACACATGTATTCAATTAAGATATAAATTTTCGTCTATAATAACGTATCTTCTATTACCAGGACTTACTATACTGGCACTACAGAAAATATTACAAAGTTTTACAGAAAAACATTTTTTATTTTACTTAATATACCTGTATATTAATATATTTTAAATCATAAATAGCTGTGTACTATACTAACTGCTACCTTATAGGCCTAATATATTTTGCACAAAGATTTATTACATCCATATATATAATAAATTAGTTTCTTATCATTTTTAAAATATACTNACAGGTATATTAAGTAAAAAAAAAAATGTTTTTCTGTAAAACTTTGTAATATTTTCTGTAGTGCCAGTATAATAAGTCCTGGTAATAGAAGATACGTTGTTATTATAGACGAAAATTTATATCTTAGTAAGAAAAAGGACATTGAGGCATTTTAATTAAACATGTATTCAATATTTGGATACACTTCCTCAAAGCCAAACTATTTGGCTAAATAATCTGATTTGCGTTGAGAGAGGAGAGAGAGAAAGAAAAAGGAATAAAATAATAAAACAGAATAAAATGAAAAGTACATTTAAAAACTCAGATATTTATAGATATTGTTATTTATTCCTTTCTAAAACATATACACCTTTAATAAATGATCTTGAGCAAATATTATTTTGTGAGGATCATAGGCCCAATTTTGTGCTAATTTAAGGAAATTCTTAAGCCTATTTCGCCATTGTGATCATTAAGAAAACATCACACAGAAAACGAATTGAATATCACCTTTACTATCAACAAATGTTTGAGAATTATAACAATTGAGTGTTAAATTAAACAACCTATTGTATATAGAAGAGATCATACAAGTTTTGATCCTAATATGGTAAGAGAGCTCTATATAACATCATAACGTTATCGACGGCCCATCTATGACCCAACACTTACAAAATCAACTTTTGTCTCCAACAACATCCAATTACCTGATGGATTTCCCCAAGCTAAATTGGATAAAAAGGAGGCTGGAACTCGAGTAGGGATGGACATTTTCCTAGAGCATAGAAGAGCTCTACCCACCAGTTACCCGTCAGCCATACTCAGTGGACACCAGTGGACTGCATGAGATGCTATAGCAAGGCAGACATCTCCAGCCACCCAGTTCTCAGTGGACATCTCCCAGGGCATAGAAGATGACGGCTAGACTCAATACCATTGACCAGGCAGACATCCCCAGAACACCATAGCCAGTTTGACATATCCCAAGATGCAATACAGCACAGAAGCCACCCAAGGCTCCAACCTAGCAGCAGCCAATACAACTCGTCACTTCTCTATGAAGACCTACAATGACCCAATACTCTAGGAGATCATCAAATCAGTTATCTACCAGATGTAAATGTTTAGCTCATATGTAAACTCTCTCTCTCAATCAAAGTAAACATAAGAACGGGATTTTGGCCCGAGCAACATACTCGGTCATTTAGTAACCATTTAGTCATGTAGCTTTAATAGTGTATTCAGTAGTGTACAGTGGTACCTCAGGATATGAAATTAATCCGTTCCGAAACTGAGATCGTATCATGAAAATGTCGTAAGGTGGATCATCTTTTCCAATACGATTACATGTAAAACCAAATAATTCGTTCCAACCTCGAAAAACATACTCAAATTAAAGCCAAGGAATACATTAAAAAAATAACTGTAGTAAGAAAAACAAATGAAAAATGCAAACTAATGTAACGTCGTATGGTGAGTTTTTGTTCGTATCGTGGAGCAAAAATATATTCGAATTTCATGTCGTATTCTGAAAATTTTGTATGCTGGGGCGTTCGTAACCTGAGGTACCACTGTACTGTAACCTTAGATTTAGCTAGATATTAAATGTATATTATTTTTGTTTATAAACCTGACTACCTGCCATTTCTCAGACCTATCGACATACCCCCTGCACTCCCACTCGACTGTTTAAGACCCTCCTATTAAGTCATCTGATGACAATGTGAGCAGTTTTTGCCAAATCATTGCCGACTAAGAGGTTTTTAGGGAACCACTTACCCTATAAATCCCCGTTTCTCACAATTTATTAATAATCACAATTCGAGTGATAAATTTTGTTTAAGTGATTTTGTTGGTTATCATAAATACTCTTTGCTGAACATACTACACACTCACTAAACATACAACTCTGTGGGGCAGCCAAAAAACATTGGACCTCAATGGCATAATTTAATTTTTTTTCATCATAATAATAATTTTTTTAAATAATAACGTATATAACCTTTATTAGTGAGAGAAGATGTTACTTTCTATCTTGATCTAAGCTATTGATTCCCAAAGTAGGCCTCTTTATGAGTTGAAAAAAGACTCAAGAGGATACTGGAAAGCAAGGAAGTTAGGGGCACTGGAAAGCAAAGAGGCATTAGTGTGTGTTGGAAGACAAGAAAAATAAAAATACTGTTAAAATACTGGCAGGATAAACTTTATTCTTTCATTTTGAAAAGTGTAACTATTGCACCAAAACCTGTAATATCTAAAAATTTTCATCATAATTTCACTCAACAGTTTGCTGTGAAAATGTTGCCAATTGCTTCTTTGTGAAGTTTCAAAAGAATCTGGCAACATATTTCAAATAATAAGACTACAGGCTACCTCAACTAGAAATAGTTGAATGGACAATTTAAGGATGCTAAGGATTACTATCAAACTGGACATGGAAAAATTAATCTCATTGCATCAGACCCATCATTAATTATTTTTATATTAATAAATCAAGTACTCTAAGATACTTTTGGATAATTATTTTTTTATTTATAAAATAAATGCTTAAATTTAAAAAATTTTGATTAAAATTTAATTTTCAGTGCACCATTTTTGACTTATTTTATGAGAGTACTATGAAATATGTATGGGGTGAAATAAAATATGTGAACTAAAAGGGGATGGTAGACCAAAAAGATAGGTAAGCACTACTTAAGCCTTTTGCTTCATGTAGTTCCAAATACAGTAAATCAGTTGATACTCAGTTAAATAGTATTTGGTAGGCAGGTGTGAGATCCCAAGGGATCTCACACCTGCCTACCAAATTAATTGATTCGTTAATTTAATTTATCATTTGATTGGTCAATGTAACATCAATTAATTAGATGATTAATAATATGGTTAATTATAATGAGGGAGAAAAGTTCCCCCATTTTCGGTATTTCCACCTCCCATGGGTTGGATAAATGAAAGGTGAGTAAATATTACATCTAACCGTCAATAATCAGCAAAAATCATTACTAACATTAAAATGTTGGCTAAAGAGAAAGGCAAATTGTAAACATTTCTATGTTGTGAAACTGACAATAAGTCATATTCCCACTGCCCTAACCGGTCCGGTGATGACACTTTTAAGTGTCATCACTGGAAATGTAAGGTCACCTGACCTACATTCCCACACCTGCGAGAGATATAACGATGAGACACCCAACGTTCAGGAAGAACAAGTTTCAAGACAGAGAGATCTCCAATAAAAATCATAAATTATGGCTGGTTCTGCCATATTGAAGGTGGACAAGTTTGACAACGACAAACATAAACTACTTCTATCTCGCCATATACTCAGTGAACATTTTCCGAGTGGCCATAGTCAAAGCCAGTTCGCCACCCTCCATGCACATAGAAGACTCTGCACTGGATACCAACTTTACTTTGATTCAACTCGAAGACATCGGCTCATCAAAGGCATTCGACTAAGGTACAATTATGTTTGTTCTCTGTATCAGTTTGCGTGGACATATAGATAGTCTCCTGTTATCGTTTGGAACTGAACTTAGATTTTGTATAACCAATCATTAGTTTAGTCTTAGCTCTTAGCCCTAATCATAGTACCAAACATTATGTTACTTATGCCTGTATGCTTTTTGGTGTATCTGTTTACTGTATGCTTTTTGGTGTATCTGTTTACTGTATGCTTTTTGGTGTATCTGTTTACTGTATGCTTTTTGGTGTATCTGTTTACTGTATGCTTTTAGTTAACTCATTAAATTATTATTTTGTTGTTAACTTGATCCTGTGTGGACTTATTTCAGCACACAAAGACACCCTATTGACTTACCCATTGCGCTCCCCACTCGACCAAAAGTAGCCCTCCTATTTTTGAAACAGTCATCCAGTGACAACGTGAGCGGATCTCACCAATCCATCGCCGTTAAAAGGGGTTTAGAGGTTGACGCTCTACCCCCAGCTTCTCACACAGATAAAACAGGAATATTTGGTATTCAGCAACATTAATATTTAAATAATTATCCTGTATTCAACCAACAACCCCTATTTTAGTCCATACCTTTTATTATTTTCTCTTTCTATTTAAAGTATGAAGATAATAATGGATGTAATTCATATTATAAAAAATAAGTATTTATACAATTACAACATGATAATATTGTTTTACTTAACATCAACACTACATAGAGTATAGATCTTACTGTATATCTAGCTCTCCAAACAGGTGAATCACAATCTAACACACCTTCCACTCTTCTAGGATTAGTAACATCCCAAAACTAAATAAATTAAAAAAATAATNATTTTATTGCAACTTTATGATTAGCTTTCATAAAATTCTCAATATTTAATCATGATTTCTTGATAAATTATCGTCAACTAATTAAACTAGAAAAACTTACTTTTACTGAACAATCCTGACTAGATGTAGCTAACTGATGTTCTTGTATTGGACTCCAATCTAAACTATGAATTTTTGATAAATGTGCTGATATGTACTGCACAGGACTAGTACTTTTCTAAAACAAAAAATCGAATTTTATTTATTTTTTTGCATATTTTTTAATTTTTCATAAATATTTCTATCTTATCAATGTCTTACTCTAGGATCCCAAAGTCTTATTTCTCCTTCATGTGCTGTTGCAATAATATTTTCAGTTACTTTATTCCATTTAACTTGGGAAGCACCAGCTGCATAAAATGAAATTTAAAAATTATATTTTTAGAACTTCATAATATAAATTTTTATAAAAGCACTTACCAACAGCAGATAATGAAGTCACAGGTTTTTTTGGATCTCTGAAATAATATAAGATAAAACATTAACAATTCTGATATAACATATTTATATAATTATATAAATATGATAATTAAATACCTAAGATCCCAAAGATGTATAAATGTATCAATTGAAGCTGTTGCTAATACATTAGCATCAAAAGATGACCAATTTAAATCACTATAATAATAAATTTCAAATTAGTTATTTATATAAAATTTTATATTATTTATAAAATCTTTGAATGAAATTTAATGTTTAAAATTTAAAAAAATATATTTAAATAATAGGAAATGGATTTGGAAAATTTATACAATACATTATTTGATAGTACTTAATTGCTTGCTGTTCTCTCAATTAATTGTATGTCTTTCGGAACTTAGCTTAAAGTTACTAATGAGAACAAATCATACAGGAACACTCCTTTTGATGGAAAAAGTAGTCCGTTCTAAATTATAAAAAATAAATATACTTTTTCCATCAAAAGGAGTATTCCTGTATGATTTGTTCTCATTAGTAACTTTATGCTAAGTTCCGAAAGACACACAACATTATTTGATAATTCAAATAAATGTATACTGTTAAATAAAATAAATTTTTACAAATTTTAATACCTAGAGCAGTGGTTCTCAAATTTTATTGGCTCACAGAACACTGAAAAACACAAAAAATTTTTCTGGCACACTTTGTGTAAAATATTAAAAATATAGGTATTCCTCATACAACACAGTACTTCTACAACATGGTGTCACTCTAACACAGTTTGAAAATCCTCCTTACAAAATTTTGCAATTTGTAAGTTAAACTTCATTATTCAATATTTTTTTTTATTCGAGTAAGCATGCATGTCATCTCAAAGTTGCCCAAGGATTTTAGAACATTGAAATTTTCAAATTATTTTGTGCTTCTCATAACGTTTACTTTAACAAAAACTGATAGGACAAGGAACAAATAAATTGCCCTAACTTTCCTATCAACCAGGTGTCATCGTCGTTACTTTCAAACTTTAACTCTTAAAACTGTCACTGTGTTTTGTTTTTATAGATTAATCTTTGTATTTAGTAAAGTATTTTTAAACATTTTTAGATAAGTGCTATTAAACTTTTTTAACTGTGAAGTAATTATTCGTAGATTTTACTTAGCTAAGAATGATTACTTCATTTGTAAAATGACAAATGAAATACAGTGGTATCTCGGCACTTGAACAATTCAGTATTCAAACACAAATTCTGGAAAAAAGTCACTTGGTACTTGACCAAACAAACACAACCTGCTAGAACAAATTTTTGATTAATAACATATTTTTATTTTGTCATCCATAAAAAATTTTTTGATAAAAATAAAAAATATGAAAATGTTGCTGATACTTATGATTAAGATCAACAAAAAAGCTGAGATGACAATGATACTTTGTAAAAACACCCTAATTTAGCTAAAATTAATATTAATGCATAATATAGTTCTTTTAATTGTGATTGTTAATTAATTATTGATTGGAAATAAATTATAAATTGCTTTAATAAACATTAGTAACAAACTCTTAGTAACAAAAAAGAATAGTATAATTTTGCTAACTCCTGGAATGTAACCCCATGTTTTGCATGAGTCATTTGTTTCGTATAGCACAAATTCACATAACATGGCACTTTTTCAGAACATAACTACTACGTTATATGAGGGATACCTGTATATTAATATATTTTAAATCATAAATAGCTGTGTACTATACTAACTGCTACCTTATAGGCCTAATATATTTTGCACAAAGATTTATTACATCCATATATATAATAAATTAGTTTCTTATCATTTTTAAAATATACTTTTATGGTATTTGAAAAACATTTAGCAATTTTTTGCAAGGCAGTAGTGTTCCTTGATGCATTGTTTGAGAACTGCTGACCTAGAATTTCAATGTTTCAATTCAATAAAAAATTAGTGCTTTTAAGATTTCAAAATTTATTTTTCCATCTGCATTTTCAACCTAATTTCAATATATTTTTCCATGTTATTTTCAAAAAATTTTCTTCAAAAACCTCTATATATCAAATTATTGACTGAAGTGTCAATTACAGTTTCAAAGCTCAACAACTACACTTTCAAAGCATAAATTGTAGTTAAGAAATATCTCACGCAATATAATAGATAGTTGCAATTAACACTGTTTTTCTCTGACTGGCTACAAGTTCGACTTGCATCTTATTGTTTGAAGAAAGTCAGGCATCAGAAACTATTGACCAACTATTTCTGTTCAGATATGTCAAAATGTTTTATTTTCACCTAATACAGATGTACTGTACTTGCTATTGTATTAATAAACTACTGTAGCTCCAATCAAACCTTTTACTGTTACCTGTATATCTCAAAACCTGTCTTTCTCAAATGTTTTTCTTATTCCTGTGAGATTCAAGATAGACAGTTTCAACTGTATTTAATTTACATCAAAATTATTTAAAAGATATGGCACTGTAATACAGACACAACCAATTTTTTGTGTGCCAATATATAACCATGATGTCATGTAATTAATGTCTATTCAATCATTCAACAGAATCATGTTAAAAAAACTGCCAATGTTTCATTAAATTTATTATTTCTTCATTTTTCATTTCAGATAAAATTTTTGGTTATTTTTCTTACAATAAATGCAGATTATCATGCCAATAGAATAATAATTATTCATAAATTAAAAATATATAAAATTTCATGAAAATGAAAAAATATAAAATTTTCTTTGTTTGATGAATTACTTAAATAAACGATGACATTCATTTACCTGATAGAACGAGTGTGAGCTTGAAGAGGTTGAACTTGTATTACATCATTATCTTTCCACTGAAGCAATTCAGCAGATTGATTATACTATAAATATTAAATATAAATTAATTTTTTTTATTCTATATTTAATTCACTTCTAATTATTTAATACTGTAAGTTTTATTTAAAAAATGAAAAATAAAATTCACAATTTTATGAATAAACTGTAATTACAGTATTAAAATTAAAGAATTATTATTATCTATTGTATATCTTTGATTCTAAGATGCCATTAATTTATAAGACAAACCGTCAGTTTTAAAATAAAAATGCTCAAATTTCTTTTAAATATACAATGGCATATGTTTATAAATTTATGCATAGAATTAACTATTACACAACATTGTTTCCAAGCTCTTTTACATACAAAGTGTGTTTTACTTCAATGTTATGATTTTATTTTGGAGACATTTTAACTGGCAAACAGAAGTCCAAATTTTAGCTGAAATCAATATCTGTATTAATACTAATGCATATAACTTAAATAACAACAGAATAAACATATATAACAAAGTTCATTTATGTGTAGGTAATGACTATTCTGTTGAAATTTTGTTCTTTGTCAAAATGGCAAGATGCTCTTCGTCAAAGTGGTATTGAATACAAGACATATCTTGATTTGGAAATATAGAAATTACAAAAATTGTGCCTCTTAAAACTGAAGAAATACCATTATAATTATAATAAAATGTTTTGTAATTATTATTTCTATAAATAAAATAAAAACTAAGAGAGGAAATTTTCTTGACACATGCATTTTATTCAATTGAAAAATGCTTTAAAAAATTTAAGATTTATACAAATTATTGGAGTTTGTTATAACTGCATTATCAAATAACAATTTTATTTTATTTTAAATCAGGTATAAGTAAGAATGAAATAAATAAATAAATGCCATTCCAACTTAATACTTGAATTAAGATACACTAACATACTAAAAAATAACTAAAATAATATACAAAAAATAAATCATCATACTGAGTATATGCTGTTATAAGTTGATCTGAAGCACAAGTCAACCTTAAGATTTTCAGATCAAACAAAGTTTAGACTTATCTATAAGTCAATCTCCAAATATACAGCAGCTTATGATGGAGTCAATTAATAATTAAGCCACATTACTTTCATTGAAACTCTTACACTGTAATGCCTTTTAATATATGATATATGTATTATATAGTTCATACAAAAAGAAATATGGGAATCAGAATCTCAGTAAAACTACTTTGGTAAGAATGCTATTGAATGTCATCTACTGGTAAACACACTCAAGTCAAAATCAACATCTCCAATAAAATATAAATAGTTTATGCAGCATTATAATTTTGTTATAGGTAAACAAATGGAACAGGACTCCTAACAATTGCTGTGTATCACTTAACAAATTCCAGCAGGTTGCAAGATAATATTTCCATTTAAAACGCAACCCTCAATAAGCTTTAGAATTTGACTTATTTAACATAGAGATTAATATAACAATAAAATCAATATAAATTAACACTATACAGTATCATATGCGGTTTCCAACAACTCATGTGTCAACTGTACATCACTAATGCAAATGGCACAGCGAAGGTTCAGGCATATTACAACATACTACTATCATAAAACATATGTAGCAGAGTGGAACTGCTGGATCATAGATCCCATTCTGTACAGAGAGCACTAAGAGAGATATGTAGCAGGCAAAAATTGGAATTTTATATATTTTGTATAAGTCAACTCCTAGTACTGCAGAAATTCTTTTCAGGCTTAGAAAGTTGATTTATATATTGGAATATACAATAAATATTTTTATATTTTTTTGCTTTTTAATCCACAAGACTGAAATATTTTTTTATTCATTCATGTAGGTGATTTCATTGATTATGCAAAATCATACAAACATAATGAATTGCTATAGAAATTTTAAAAATTTGTTAAAAATAGAAATGTGTTCGAAACATTTGAAGTTTTTCATGACAATGCAGGAATGGGCAACCTACAGCCCCCAGGCCACATGCCACATTAATATTTTTTGCATCCCGCATCACATAAACTATGAATAAATATATCAATTTCCCAGCTTCAGGAAGAATGCAGCAAAAATTCAAACATTATTTCTACAATTTATGTATGTGAATAGTTTTTCCGCAATGAATTTAGTAAAAATTAAACCAAGAAACCGGCTAACAGACACATCAAAACTAATTTAAAACTAGCAGTGACTAATATTTAACCAAATATTTCCAATATATTACATTTCCATCAGTTCAAGAAGCTAAATTAAGTATATATATGCTAATTTATAATTATATATGAATAAATAATTGTGATTTACTGGCATTTTTTTTCCTCTTTCTCTTGTATGCAGCCCATGTCAGTTAGAAAGTTTTAAAATGCAGCCCTTACATAGAAAAAGGTTGCCCATCTCTGACTTAATGAAACAAAATTTCAAGAAAACTGGAAGCTAACTTTTGTTTATATTTAATAAATAATAATTTATGAATCCTCATTTAAGTTTATATATTTTAATTAATTTAATATTTGTTATTCATTTTAATTCATATATTGCAAATTTTAAAATATTTACAACTTACTGCAAGTACTATATATTCTTGCTGATGTGGATTCCATTCTATAATTGTAATATCCCATTTACAATTACGATATACTTTCTTAATAGGTACAGAGGGTTTGTCCAATGAAGTAAAAATTAAACATCTTTTCCTGAAAACAGCAATTTCATTAATTATAATATTAATTTTTAAATTAAAAAAATTATCAAACATACCCTGCTATTACTGCATACTGTCCTGTACAATCTAAAGCCATGGAATTTGCCTAAAAATGTAATTTAAATCATTACTAAAATAAACAATTTTACATACAGCATTTACATTTTTATTATACTATGATATACAGTATATAATTGTACTAATTTAGATATTACATAAGATTATATGTAGAGTTGTTTCACTTAACAAAGTTATGTAAATTTTAAATCAAAGGTTATTACAGGTATACAAGTTTATTATATAATTACTGTATATTGAAATCATTAAATAATTTTTACAAAAAATTGTTTAGAACTATTTAATATTATTAATAAAAAAATATTTTTTTACTAATCATAACTCAGAAAATATTAATAATTAAAGTATACTGTCATAATCCAAGCTTCCAATAACCTGAATTGAAATCAATATAGAAATTATATAACATTTTCATTGAGTAAGTAAAAATAAAGTGTTATCATACAAAATTCCTGCATATTTATAGAAATATTAAACATAACAAATAAAAAAAATTGATAATTTTTTAATTAAAAATAACAATATTCTATAAATACTTCAGGATCAATTTTAAATCAAACAATTTTACAGAAGATCTTATTTAAAATTCTCTCTTTACTACCACCAAATTTCAACTGCAAATATCTGAATATCTTCAGAATTAATTCAGATTAGAATGTATTATATATTAAAATATAAAGTTTATATTTGTTTGTTATTAAATATCATTTGCAAAATATTTAATATTTCTGACTATAAAAAGTCTTTTAGATAATTTGACCAATCTTTATCACATTCATATTTTATATGATTTTCATATATCATCTAAAATATGATTTTGTTATTTGTATTTCTTGTTAATTAATTTTTGTTTTGTTTGTTATATATCAGGGGTGCCCAGACTTTTTGCTGTAAGAGCCTAGTTACCTATCTGAAAATATTGGGAACAGAACCTAATGTTCTTGGTATAAAAATAAAACAAAAATTTCAGAATCATAATACAGCAATACCCCGACTTACGCGTCCCTTACACAGAAAAAGGTTGCCCATCCCTGACTTAATCAAACAAAATTTCAAGAAAACTGGAAGTTAACTTTTGTTTATATTTAATAAATAATAATTTATGAATCCTCATTTAAGTTTATATATTTTAATTAATTTAATATTTGTTATTCATTTTAATTCACACATTGCAAATTTTAAAATATTTACAACTTACTGCAAGTACTATACTTACACGAACCCGGAGTTACGCGACTTTCAAATCTCGTCGATTCATCTTTGAGCGCCACACAACTCATGATTACTCACTACCCCCACACTATTGTTCAGCTTATATGTTCAGACATGTCACGCGAAATCAACACATAGCTACAATTTATTTTATGTTATTTATTTCTGTGTTTGTTATATGTCAGTGGCATGCCGTGACTTTTGATGATAGGGAAGCTGTGTTTCTATAAGAAGCCGACTTCCAGGGGCAATCAGTTAATTCTTTAAATGAATTTTTAATAGATTATTTATCTGACATAATTAATAAATAAACAAGTTCAATATAATTACCTCTGTTATTAGATTCAATAGATTCCCTATGCCCTCTAAATGCCGATTCTCGCTTTGACAAAAACATATAACATCTACAGTCGACCCCCCTATAATTATGGTCCCTATAATTACGATTCCTATAAAACTACGAAAAAATATACGTATTTTGGAAATGTTGAGTCGGATTAGTGTAGAATCGATTAATTTTATGGAAGAAAACCTTTCAATCAGCCGTAGTCCGTAAACTTGACACGTGTCGGGCTGTGATTGGAACGACTTGTAAGAAATCGGATTCCTAATAAATTGGAACGTATCTATATCTTATAGGGGGGTCGACTGTATTAATTTAAATATATGTACGCCGTAACTATCTCATTATAATTTTCAATATTTATTTTATATTATTTACTAATGTTAAATTCTATTCCACTTTGATTTTCAAATTGCTTCAAATACGAAAGAATCGACACTTTTTCGTGTCTTTTGCCAGCTAAATTGTCAAAGCCATTCTTATTCCACACACTAATTTCATTTGAAAATAGTAGGCGAGCCAACAAAACAATTTTTGCATTTTTATGCATCTACAGAGCCATTTTATCGTGAAAATGTCAAACAAATTTTTTATTGAAGTGTTTATATTTAACTTAGGCATTGGCCTTTCTCTTTTAATAATGTTTCCTTTTTCATTACATGATCTTGAGCCAAAACTTTAAAATAAATTTTCAATATTGCAATTACATTCTGAATCGCTAGCCACGATATAAGGGTTAAAATTAAAAATAAAATTATAAAAATTTACTTGGTGAAATAAGATATAATGTGGTGGATATACATACCTGGTACAAAATATTCTTCAATTGTATGAATATATTTTTAAAGATAATTATAATTAAATATAGCTCTGTAAAGAAATGTACATAAAAATAACATAAAATATTCTTTACTTTTTAAGTCTTAACCACTTAGTCAAATAGCTCCCTATGAGTGGAATCAGAGATGGTCCTGCTAGGTGTGCAGTGCGTGCATGCACGCGGGCTGCCAAATCCCGAGGGTGCCCATACCAGTCAATGTCAAATGCCTCTTTTCTCGCATCACTAGCATATCCCAAAGGACGCGACAGGTTGTAAATTTTAAACATTTCTCACTATAGCTGTAAAAATCTAAATACAGTCAACCCCTCTATAACACGGGTTCCTATAGTTCGGATTCCTATATCACGGAGAAAAAATTGCGACAGTATTCGTACAAACATGCTAAAAAAACTCCTATAATTCGGTAAAATGTCATCGCTGACTCGTGTCGCGACAGGATTGCACAAACCGTTGAGTTTAAATGAGCAGCAGACCTACCAAAAACCATTTATTATTTAACGTCCATAAAAATTATATTTTTATTAATGATGTGTCTAAAGTTCAGCGAATTTTTCGCAAAAAAAATAATTTATCAGGAAGCACGTGAAGCATGCGAGTGCCATTCAATGACAATCTCCATGACGAAAACAAGCTTAAGCAACGGCGTAGTCGAACGGTGCGCACTGGGTAAGTAATCCTACAATTTTTTGTTTATAGCATAGTTTATATGGATTATTCCCAAAAAATTATACGTATTTTGGAAATGTTGAGTCAAATTAGTCTAGAATCGATTAATTTTATGGAAGAAACCTTTCAAAAAGCCGTAGTCCGTAAACTGCATACGTGCCAGGCTCCTAGAAGCTGGATTCATAAAAACAGGAACGTATCTACCATGTTATAGGGGTCGACTAAATGTTAAACTTAATAGTCATTTGTTTTCTAACTAATTATTTTTAGGACCAAGTGTCCACAGAAATTTCCAAAATTTACAACTTTTCGGTCACTCTCGTTGAACTGGAAAAATTTCTGTTTATATTATGTCTAATATTATGAAGAAATCAGTCCCCACTGTACTCGGCTAGAGATTGGGTTGATTAAGCTTTCAAGTAATATTCCAACTCTTTCAGCAGGGTTTTATTTTGTCCCCAATTCCCTAATCTCTTAATTATTTAACTACTTCTTAAGTAGAAATAAGTTGAACCGGTTACTTTGTACTTGAATATTTGTAGTCTTGGGAAAAAAATGGAAAGACAAATTTTTATGACAACAGATATATAAATCGTAAATTTAAGAAAAATAAATTCTAGAGCATTTTCTGTACCTCGTGCATCTCTCTCATTCATTAAATTTAGTTGTAAATGATGCTACCAAAGTAACAGTTAATTTTTTAACATTGTTTTTTTCTACATCCCCTTATAGATGGAACATACAAAATTGTAATATCACTGGTTTAACATCTGTAAGTATATATCTGTAAGTAATATAAGATGGGAAAGCAGAATAAAAGCAAAATAAATATATCAAATATTTTAATGGATTTTTTTAAACTTCTGTCAACTATACAGAACTATCATAAAAACATACCAGTAAATTCTTAACGGTTAGGTTAAGTTATAAATCTACTCATGATTCACATAATGAGGCGCGGGCGGCCAAATATCTAGCAGGCAGGCAGCTAACAGCCCAAAACTGGTCCTGGATAGAATTGAATGTGGTATACCTGTAGTATCCACCCGAGGTCCTAGGCTTCCACTGGCTAAACTGGGTGAGGTTGGTGCTCTGTAAAGCGCATGCGCAAATCTGGCTTTTTGGATGCTGACAATACAGCGCTTCCACTCTGCCACTAATATTCGAATATACAATAGCAATCTTTTTTTTTTTTTTCACATGTATAGAAATTTGTAATAAGATACATAATGCAGTTATAATAAAATATTGTGCGATTATTTTCATATAATTAAAATTAATATGCATTTATTTTTTAGAAAATACAAGGGAAGTGGCGCATCCACCGCTTCCAATGATGGCACGCCACTGCTCTATGTGGTGATTTCTTGTAACTGTGAACGAATCAAAAGACGAGATAAGATTAATGAGAACATTTATTAGCTTACATACATCCAATTTGGATTTTACACAAATTGTGAAATTATACCCTGACTTATGCGAATTCGACTTATGTGATTATCGCTCGGTCCCACCAATCACGTAAGTTTGGGGTATTACTGTATATTTATTTTGACAATTTTTACATATTTATTACAATTTTTTTTATTTACTCTTTGCTAGTTGAAGATTTATGAATTTGTAATGTTTATAAAGAAATTTTAAAAAACAACAAATATTTTTTATTTATTAGTTGAACCACAATTAAGCTGTTGAAGAGCCGCATGCAGCTCGCAAGCCACAGTTTGGGCATCGTTGTTATATACTTTGTTAATTTTTGTTATTTGAATCAGCTTTTAGATTATTAGATTAAAATTATAATGCTCTACTTATTATAATCATGGCTAATGTTATCGGTCATTTTAATGTCAAAATCAGCACACCCAAAACACAAGTTAGAACAGACTTAAAAAGTCTTATTATTGTAATGAGAGTTCAGTTATAGTAATCATTTTCTTCAAGTAAATAAGAACTTTTAAATTTCTTT